TGTGGTCTTGACTGGTAGTCCCTTCTAACTCTGAATCTTTTCCTGATTTCTATGGTATTACTTACCCTAATCAAATGGGCATTTCGCTTGACTAAGTTTCAGAGTCATTAAATAACACTGGCACTAAGCAATGATTCACAATACTCTGTGACAGCCTTCTTTCAGACTATCACCAACCAGTATTATAAGCCACTTTATGAGTTTCCAACTAGATTATTTAAATTATGTTTAAAGTGAGTGAGGGACCTTAATCATAAAATTGAAGACAGAATTGATGGCAAGATGAGGCACTATTTTATCTGCCACTAAGAGGAAAAACTGAGGTCAACTTAACTATAATACTTCATTTTCACTTAGAATTTTTAATTTGTACATATCCAGAGAGTTAAACTTAGGTAGACATATTTTTAATTTATGCCATGATTGTACATATATTTTTAAAAACTGAATTAAATTAGCTAAACCATTCCTATATTGTCTTCATATGCAGAACGCAAATCTACTTCATCATATTTTGACTCAGCATCTCTGATAACTGAGTTTTTCCACACAAACTCATCCTCTGCACCACCAAAAGCACCAGAGGTACAGCATTTCCCAAATGTACTAGACTACTGTTTCCAGGAATTTGATCTAAAGCACTGACATCCTTTCTGGAAACTGAACTCATAATTTTCTTTTTTTCTTCAATTACACTGCATGTGTTGGAAGATAGGCAATTTCTGTTAAAAGAGAGTTAAAAAGTGTCTGACAAATTGACAGTTGATATACCTTAGCAATATTCTTTTGCATTAGTCATGCTGAACAGAATTACTCATGCTGGTAATGCTTTGAAATTTCTTCCATTTTTTCCCAAGGGATTTGTCCCTTTCTCTTGCCCTCACTCTGCCATGTAATAAACAGGCAATCCTTTGCACACAGTTCATTCACATAATGTAACATGTCTTCATATACTTGTGGGTATCTTTCTTTCCTAGGTTCTGTAAGGCACTTGACTGTTTGTCAAGAAAATATGGAATTGAGATCATTCACCCAATGATGAATATTATCTCCATAACATCAAACTTAAATCTTCCTGTTCTGTTTTTGTGCTTTTCTTCATACATACTAACATTTTTGGTTTCATTATTTTGTTGAAGACATATTACGTGACTAATGTAATACCGACAATATAAGTAACCTAACCCAATGATGATACCATGAAAAGCTGTGATGTACACCCACTGGCAAATACTTCATGACTACAACCAGGCTGTCAACAATTTTAAGTTATTGTTGATTATAAGACATATCACCATTTCAGATATTAAAATGTGAAACACAAAGTGTATGTCTTAAAGTCAATAAAATGAGGGCTATGAAAGCACTTCCAAAATGTCCAATCATTTAACTTATTTCTGTAAAGAAAAAAATTTTTTTTCATAAACTATGTCCAGTCATAAGTCCTAATTTCCTGAATTAGGAAGAAAACTTAGTTGATTTGTTTTATGAAAGTATACCAATAATCATATATTTATCAATGACTCTCACATGTATTATCTCATTTCATCTTCCCAGTAGATCTGAGACATATTTTGATGTGCTTCTTAAAGATACATAGAAATGGACTTCAAAAAAGTGAACCCAAAATCACCCAGCAGAACTTGACCTATAACCCATCAACTCAAAGTCAACTACTTTTCCTGCTACCCCCTGGCTGCTTCCTGCTACATGCTCACTCCCTGACAATCTACTCTTGAATCAGCTGCCAAGTGGTCTGTCTTGGTATTAAACCAATACCACTATTAAAGGTTCACTTCCTTCCCACTTTCCCTTTAGCCTTAGTCTCTAGGTCTTATATAAAACATAAACTCTACCTTTTAAGCTTAAAGATCTTAGGATTGATAAAATAGCAGAACAATTCAGAAAGGGATATAAAGAAGAACCCAAATAAAATAAAAAAAGATTACCATGTTTAATATTCACAATGAGTATAATACTTCCTGTTCATATTTAAGACATGACTAGTAGAGGAGACACTGCCCACTTTCTCAAAGTAAGCCTTTTAAATCTTTATACACCATCGCTACTTCTACCGTGTGCAAGCAAACTTGGTAATTTTTTTCCTTGTTAAAATTGCAATTGGAAACAACTCAAATGTCCATCAACAAATGAGTAAATAAAATGTATATCCATACAATGAAATATTATTTGACAATAAAAAGTAATACAGTACTGAAACATGTACAACACAGATGAACTTTGACAGCAAACTAAGTGAAAGAAGGCAGTATCAAAAGACCACATATTGTATGATTCCACTTATACAAAACGTTCACAACAGTCAAACCTATAGAAACATAAAGTGGATCAGTGGTTGTCTAGGGCTTGGAGCAAGAGATTTGGGAAGAAATGGAGAATAACTGCTAATGGGTGCAGGGTTTCTTTTTGGGGTGACAAAAATGTTCTAAAATTGTGGTGATGGCTGTATAACTTTGTGAATATACTAAATACCACTGAATTGTACTCTTAAATAGTTAACTGTGTGGTATGTGAATTGTATCTCAATAAGGTTTATTAGTATGTACTTCCACTGAGTCATGTACATGTGTGTGCATGCAGAAATATGCACATATATAACTAATTATAATGTGAAACAGAATATTATTGCTTACATTTTAAAGAACTGTTTGATGGGTTGATCCCTGCTAAACTGCCATGTCTAGAATAGTGCTAGAACACAGTACATATTTGTTGAATGGCTGAGTGCAATAGCGTAATGTCAGACCCTGCTATTAACAGAGAACAAAGGTTAATCTAGCATCACTATACTTATGTTCAGTTGCTAACAAAATTCTCACTTATAATATAGCATAAGGATACCCCTATAGGATTCCTATCAAGAAGAAATCATTAAAGATGAAAAAACTTATAATCTTACCCAGAATCTTGGTCAGTAGAAAGATAAATAATGAGAAAAGGCTAATCCCTTAAGGAAATGGCAGCAGAACAATATGTGACTGGGGACAAGCGTGAAAGCACTTTTCAATTCTTTCAGTGAGTAATGAGTTACAATAATTGGCCTTTGTATTAACCTGTTTTAGTAAATTGACCCAGTAAGGTTTCCTCCATATTTCCCTCAGCCATAGTCCCTTTACCTTTTTAATTAAACCCAGAGACTGTCTACTGTTTGCTCTCCTAGTTCCTGAGCCATGGTATTCCTAAAAGCAATGGCATTTTCCCACAGTCCTCTCAATAGCTCAGTGATGGCAACAAGTCTGAATGAGGCCAAGACATCAACAAACTCACCCTATTCTCCATACTCTCAAAACCAAATAAGGACATCTAACTGCCTTGTGTTTCCCTTTCAGTTTCTGCCATTCCCAAGTGCCCCAATTCATTATGGCATTCCGAAATATTCAAGCATCTAGTTGACTATGGTTAAAATCTAACTCCTATTCCCCTGACTCCGATTTTTTTTCTATATTCCTAGATTTGTGTTTAAAACAAATACTGCACACCAGACTTGCAGGAACGGCCTGATCTAGAATAACAAGTCACGCAACCATGTGTTTTACCCTCAGTCAATTAGAAATGCGATTTTTTTTGACCTTGAAAACCTTTGGACTGAGATGGGAAGATTTTTCCTTCCTAATACTTGACTCTGACTAATTTGAAACTGTTTCCCAGGAATTCTACAAAAACAGTGGGTGTACTCATGAAAGTTTATTCATCATTCCATTATTCAGATTAGAAATAGTTTATTATTCTAGAGCACTGTTACCAATTTTTAAATAAACTAATATGAAAGATTAAATAATTTCCAAGACACATTCACATTGACATACTACCATTTTAAATCAGTACAATTCATTGAGAAAGCAACGTATACCTATCGCAATGTCAATAAAGATAAGAAAAGTGGCCAGGCATGGTAGCTCATGCCTTTAATCCCAGCACTTTGGGAGGCCAAGGTGGGTGGATCACTTGAGGTCAGGAGTTCGAGACCACCCTGGCCAACATGGTGAAACCCTCATCTCTACTAAACATACAAAAAAAAAAAAAAAAAAAAAAAAAAAAAAAAAAGCCAGGTGTGGTCGCACAGGCCTATAAACCCATAATCCCAGCCATTTGGGGGGCTGAGGTAGGAGAATCACTTGAACCTGTGAGGTGGAGGTTGTAGTGAGCCGAGATCACACCACTGCACTCCAGGCTGGGTGACAGAGCAAGACACCATCTCAAAAAAAGAAAACAAAAGTATTCAATAGAAACAAAGGAAGAGCTTTACCACAGCATCAGGTATATAAATAGAACACTGGGGAACATGTAGCGCTCTAACAGAAACTGAAGGGTCTGGTAAATTATGGTACAGACACACAGCAGAATAGTGTACTTGTTAAAAAATAAGAATTATAAGCATAGTTGGTGCAAAATAACTGTAGTTTCAATTACTTTTGCATCAACCTATAAAAACGTAATATTTATGACATAATAAGTGAAGGACCAGAACAAAAAATGGTAGGTGTGTATGCATGTGTGTGTATCAAATAAACCCTATATCATATTTTTAAAATATCCTTTCAAAATGATTCACTATCAAACTTCTCATTTTTAAAGCTTCCCCATCTATTCTATTTACTCAGTTAAATTTTTCGTTTTTTAACTCTCCTATGAGCCTAGTCTTTCTGATCATCTCTATTTTCCAATATAGTTGTTTTTATCTCCTTCACTCATTGCCTTGATGCAAATTTCACTGCCTATCATGCTTTCTTTTCCAATGGTAGGAAAAATATCTACATAAAGGCTACAGAGACCAAAGTCACTCTATGATCCCTGCACTACCTTCCCAAATACTGCCTTGTGATCACTGTGAAAATGACCCAGCAGTAAAATGGGACAGAAATGTAAGGTTCACACACCATACCATGCCTCAAAACAACTTCCTAATTATTTCTGCCTATCTGTCTATATGTGCATATGAGGTAGATATTTAAAATAATCAACTACTGCATGTTTGTTACCTATTGCATGAATCTGATTCTGGTGAAGAAAGAGCTTCTTGAATATCAGTACAACTAGAAGAATCCTCTTCTCTGTCAGGTTCTAATTTCTCTGGGGAGTCCAGCTTTGATTGAGAAAAGTGGTTTGTTACTGAGGTCATATTATCTTCCTGTCCTAAAAAGGAAAAAATAAATTAAAAAAAAAAATTTAAGAGTACCTTAAAAGCTACAACTTCCATATGCCTATTACTTCTGCAACACTTAATACTGCCATTTGCACTTAGTAAAGTTGGAGTATATGTCACACTGATTCCAAAACTCCAGTGATAACCGGAGAGCAAGAATTAACAGTACAATGGTGCTATCTAATTATACTGTCCAGACCATGTTTTTCCAAGATTAATTAATTTTAAAATAAAATTTATTTTAAAACCAGGAGCGGGAAGAATCTTGTCATTCTAATGAGGCATCTATTAACACATTACTAAGGATAAAAATGAATTTGGCTACAGCAACAGAATGGTGGACCTCATGTCCCACATGGCCTCCAAGGAGTAAGACCCCTGGACCACCAGCCCCAGCGAAAGCACAAGAGAAAGACAGGCCCTCACTGCTGGGGAGTCCCTGCCACACTGAGTCCCCCACCACACTGAATTGCCCCTCCTCACAGTTTCCATGCAGACCCCTTAAAGAGGGAGGGGCCTAGGGAGCCCCACCTTGTTGTGTACCATCAATAAAGTCCCCTGTGCTCAGCCCAAAAAAAAAAAAAAAGCATAACCAGAAAAAGACTACAGATTCAACTAATAAGACAACCACAATATTTGTCACTATTATATGACAGTGAATCTATCTGGACATTTCCCTAAACCTGTTAAATATAATCTAATTATTCTCTATGGAAAAGGACAACTAATCAGTCATAAGGAATATTTCCATTTGATCCAATACACATCACATTTCCAGGCATTCTTTGTCATAGCCTCAGCTTTTGAGGTCTCTTATTGCAGATAAAATAAAGGCCCCAAAAAGCTGGAAGGATGCAGTGTTTACAAAAACATGGCATATGGATATGGCCAATTTTCTACAAATATGAGTGAGAAGAGTATCTGTGAAAGAGTCTTTAGTGACGATAATTCTCCCACTCATCATGAACTCTGCTGGGATTTTCATCTGTGCTATCTTTCACTTTCAGGAACTGAGGAGGTACTTCATGTGCAAGCTACATGTGCTAATAGTACAGAACTCCTTTCATGTTTCCTCACAGAAAAACGGAGCTTTCACACAACACTTGTCAAGCACTTGTAGAGGCAAGGGGTCTTCAACAAAGCACACTAAAAATATAATTGTCAAGGTCTGGTTATACACAGAGAATTTATGGGGAAAGAATAAAACAAATTCTTCAAAAAGCTTGCCAAGTTCATACAGTCAAAATTTTTTCAGAAATAGTTCTAAGTTTTTGTTACACTGGGAGAACAGCATACTACACAAGAGTATAATTTCTAAAAAATATGTTCCTAATGTCATCTGGCTATCAATAAGCTATTACTAGCAAAACAAAACAGCACCCTCTAATGTATATCTGGAAAAGGGAAGAAGAAGTTAGGCAGGATGACCATCCTGAACCTCTAGGAACTCTTGTGAACAGATACCAGGATCACATTAAGAGGAGCCTATCACCCAGTCAACTCAGTTCACCTGGGCACTGTATTACTCAACTAGTGAGGAGCATGTAAGGAAGCTGGCAAGCCAGGGAACAAAAATTCAACTTAAAACAATCTTTTGATTTTGCACATTGTCTGTATTCTTCTCTTACTTCTTCCACTCTTACATAAACTTCTAGAAGATATATTCCCTCTTGGGGACAAACAGTATTCAATAATTTGTAGGCATAAAAAATCAGTTATCCTTCCTATCTGTCCTTAGATTTCAGAATGCTCTGATGATTCAACTTAAAACAATATTTTGGTTTTGCACACTGTCTGTATTCAATGGGAGAACAGCTACTACCCAAGAGTATAATTCCTAAAAGTATGCTCCCAATGTCATCTGGCTATCAAGTCAAATAGAGCCCCAAGAGTGAGGCTCAAACATCAGAGTTCCCTAGAGACACACAACAAAAACAGGCTAAGTTTTCACTTGAGAGAATATGCAACTTGTTCACTTACATGAGCACTTCAATGTCTGTTCTAAAGAGGAACAATTATACTGGTTGTATGATGCTATACAAAATCCACCTTTTCAGTCAGTCTGTGTCTGTCTTCATCTCTCTCACATACCTTACCAGGAATCCCCAAACTTTTTACACAGGGGGCCAGTTCACTGTCCCTCAGACCGTTGGAGGGCCGCCACATACTGTGCTCCTCTCACTGACCACCAATGAAAGAGGTGCCCCTTCCTGAAGTGCGGGGGGGCGGGGGGCAGATAAATGGCCTCAGGGGGCTGCATGCGGCCCATGGGCCGTAGTTTGGGGACACTGCCTTACTCTCTCAAACATCTCATTAATGCACAGCAATCTAAAAGCAGCAATCACCTTTGAACCCCAGAAAAAGCAGTATTTATGTTCATAAATACATACAAGTCATCCATGATATTCAAGAGAGATTCAACTAATAAAAAAAAAGTTTTCTTAATGGGAAATATTCAGTTAGGTTTTCTCAGAAACTAGTCTCTAGAAACATCCTTTAACAATTGCATGAACAAGTTCGAGTTGTTCAAAGACCATGAGTTACATGCTGAGGCAGCACTTTATGCACAAACTGCTTATTAATTTAGTCACTAGGGAAATGCAAATCAATACCACAATGACATACCACTTCACATGTACAATTTTTAAAAAATTTAAAAATCAGAAAATAACAAGTATTGATAAGGATGTAAAGAAATTGGAACCCTCAAGCATTGCTGGTGGGAATATAAGATAATACAGCCACTATGGAAAAGTTTGATGATTCCTCAAAAGCTTAAACATAGAACCAGCATATGAATCAGAAATCCTACTCTAAGGTATATGCAAAGGAACTAAAAGCTGGAACATAGATATCTGAGCACCAGTGCTCACAGCAACATTATTCACAATAACCGAAAGGTGGAAATAACCATAACAGATAAATGGATAAATAAAATATGGCATATACATACTATAGAATGTTTAATCATAACAAGAAATGAAATTTTAAAATATGCTACAACGTTGATGGACTCTGAAAATACTATGCTTAGAGAAAAAAGCCAACACACAAAGACAAATATTGTACAATTCCATTTATATGAGGTACCTGGAATGGGCAAACTCATAGACACAAAAAGTGGAATTGTTATTACCAGGGCTATAAGGCAGAGGGGATGGGAGAGTTGCTATTTAATGAGTACAGAGTTAGTGCTGGGAATGATGAAAATGTTTTGGATACAGACAACAGTGATAGTTATACAACACTGTGAATATATTTAATGCCAATGGCTTGCACATTTATGAAGAGTTAAAAAGATAAACATTGTGTTATGTATATTTTACCAAAATATAAAAACCATAATAAAGAATTTTCTTGCACACTTTCCCCCATTATGATTCTTTTCTGTTCACTGGTCCAAAGCCCAGGCAATAGAATAAGAATATTAATTTCAAATTTTAAAATAGGCCAAAGTTAAAGAAAGTCCTCTGTATTAGCCTATCAGGTATATCAGCTTTAGATTGTCTGGCAAAACACTTCAACCAAAGTAAACATTAGTGTTTTATCACAAAAATAATTCACTCTCTTTATAGAATCTCTCAGGATCTTCACCAATAAATTCTGTACCTAGAAAACATCCTCAAGCTTAAATAACTAAGAAATAATTTATCATTACCTGAAAGGATGATAGACAAAAGAGACTGTTTCTTCAGGACATTCTTTCAACCATTTTCCTCATAGTGATAAATCTAGTTTACAAACTGCTACATGAAGTTTGTCTAAAAATACTTTTTCTCATTTCAAAGAACTAAGAACTCCAAAGCAAATTTCTTTGGTTTAATTTTCTTTTCATATTAAAAGTAAATAATGAAATTCAACATATATCTGTTTTTAATTATAGTCTCTTACCCATGCATACAGAAGATAGCTTTTCTGTAGATTCATCTTCTTTTGTTATTGTTACTGTTTTTTGTGACATTCCAACAGTTTTCTTGTATGCTTTCCTAGCTTGATCCACCAGAAGCTGAAATTCACTCTTATGTTTTTTACCTGAAATTCAAAAGATCTTCTCAGTAAAGCTAGGACTATGAAAGTTAACCATCTACAACTGACAAACTGAACTATCAAGAGATGTACAAGGGACAGGCGTGGTGGCTCATGTCTGTAATCCCAGCACTTTGGGAAGCTGAAGTGGGTCGATCACTTGACAGGAGTTCAAGACCAGCCTGGCCAACATGGTGAAGCCCATCTTTGCTAAAAATACCCAAAAAAAAAATTAGCCAGGTGTGGTACCACGTGCCTGTAATCCCAGCTAGTTAGGATGCCAAGGCATGAGAATCACTTGAACCTGAAAGGCAGAGGTTGCAGTGAACCAAGATCGTGCCACTACACTCCAGCCTGGGCGACAGAGCGTGATTCTGTCTCAAAACAAAAACAAAAAAACAGAGGTATACAAGCTTGCTCAAGAATAACATCCTTAGGAATCACTTGCAGTAAATTTAGAAGCCGCCAAGCATAAGAATACAAAAGGGCTGCAGTGCCATAAAAGCTTTTTATTTTCTCCCTTTCTCAAACAGAAATACGGAAACATGATACTCCTAGTTTGCTACTCTAGGTTTCTTCCCAAATCCTATTCTCTAGAGAGGCTTTTACATAATAATAAGAGCATGAAAGATCCCCACTTTCTTTGTTCCCTGGCTTGCCAGCTTGCTTACATGCTCCTCACCAGTTGAGTAATATAGTGCCCATGTGAACCGAGTTGACTGGGTGATAGGTTCCTCTTAATGTGATCCTGGTATCTATTTACAAGAGGAGTTCCTAGAGGTTCAGGATGGTCACCCACTTTCTTAAATATACACAAATGATACCATTCTAACTTCCAAGATACAAGAGTACTAAAAGTATTCACGGAATCTAAAATAGAAGCCTCTAGGAAAGTTGAAACATAATAACAAAGGATATCCATTCCAGCTCTGCTTTTTTACCTTTTCACATTTCTGGCCTGTTTCCCAGTACAGTCCCTTTAAGATTCTCAGACCTCTCCCAACCAATTCTACCTTATCTTAGGATATTATACTAACTCTAATCTTTATTTACCACAATTTTAACACCTTTGATACAATTAACCCTGACCTCAAGATCATTATTAATGTGCCAATTTGCTCAATAAAGAGCAGCCAGTCATCATTACTGCATGAACTTTAAGGACATCTATTTGTGATTCTGAACCATGGTTCAAACAGCTGAGGGTGCAGTTTACTTATCCAGCAACGTTAAACACTTAGTCCACAAGCCAAAGTAATGTCATAAATCCTGTAAAATTTTTAGAGAGAACCATAATACAAATGGTTAAAACAAAATTTTGACACTGTTTTCATACAAAAACCAACAATGTACTTTTTATCACTTGGTTTCTTCCATTTTCCTGAACACAACACTAAGTTGTAGGAAATATACTGGGTGTAGGGAAAAAATTGTGCTTCAGTTGAACTATGGCACTGTCTAAATCTACTCTCCCAGGATTCCAGCCATTCACTGGTATTACTGTATGTTGTAGATAACTGAGAGCAATGGAAAATAATTCTTGTCTATAGACATGCAAAATCCTGTTGGGTGGAGGTTAATTGACTTCCCTCCTCCAGTGTGGAAGAAGCCAGGTTTTTTGCCCATTTACACATTCATTTCAATGTTCCTGATCTGTAAGTGCCATTATTCTTTGGATCCTTCTTTGTTCACCTCATACTATCAGTCCTCTTTCTACTAATAAGTTTAAATCTTTAATAAAAACATATGTTCATTTTACATCCATATGAGAATGTTACTTGTTTTTGAAAATTATCTTTTAACACAAGAAAACACTAAATTACGATGCACAAGGAAGAAAATAGCTGGATTCCTATACGTGAATATTGACAGGCACAGCAAAGACATTCAGGAAAGAATGCTCCTAATTACTATATATTTTATGTGTATGGTACATATATGAAAACTTCTAGTGAAATTAATGTGTTGGTGTGTAAAATGTCTGGTACATTTTAAATAAGAGACTAATTAAAATGTCAGCAAAAGAAATCTATGCTGGCTGTGAAGATTGCTGGAAAAAACTAACTCTTTAGAAACAAGTGAAATCCTATCTAGATATACAAGCTAGGTAATTTCTTTTAAGTCCTATTTCACTCTATGCGCTTGAGGATCATTTCTTTGGCTCCTTGGAATCAGTGGGCTAACACTACCACCATCATTACGTAGTTTCTGTTAGGCGAGGATAACACTGTACTGTAGGATCTACATAGTTAAACCAGGTCTAAGCCACTTTCCTACTAAGGCCATGTCACTGTACACATAAAGACTGCAAATTTAAGAATTAGTCAAGAAATTTGCTAAAGTAATCGCATTAACAGTTAAGGAGGCTTAATGACTTATTATCTTCCGAAGTAATAAAACCCCAGATTTAAATGTAATTACCCCACAGCTAGGCTGGAAACCAAAAGTAAATGGCAGCTACTACTCTGGCTTTAGCCAGAGAATTCCTGTAACTCCTGCTCAGAAAAAGAAACATGTCAACAGATAAAGACTAGTAACATTGTTCCCACTTAACCTCTTTACTTCATTTTAGAAGTTTTGCCACTTGGCAAGTACTGTAGAGTTTAAAATCTCAATTCTGGTGGGTATATGTCCTGAAAGTATTTTTCTTTTTTTTTCTTTTGAGACAGAGTCTCACTCTGTCACCAGGCTGGACTGCAGCGGCAAACTCTCAGCTCACTGCAACCTCCACCTCCCAGGTTCAAGCAATCCTCCTGCCTCAGCCTCCTGAGTAGCTGGTACTACAGGTACGAACCACCATGCCCAGGAAACTTTTTGTATTTTTAGTAGAGATGGGGTTTCACCATGTTGGCCAGGATAGTCTCGATCTGTCAACCTCATGATCCTCCCATCTCAGCTCCCAAAGTGCTGGGATTACAGGACTGAATCACCATGCCTGGCCTGCCTCTTAAAAGTTTTAAGTGGCTTAGCTAGTTGTGGGAACGTCCATGACAAGGTACAAGTTCAACCAACTCATTTTCTTCCAGATTTTAAATACTTGAATCATACCATCCTTTGTACCTCTCCAAGTTTAAATGTAATCTTTTTTAGTACCAAGTCAAGGCCTTCACTCCCTGATCACTTTAACTGCTCTTCTTCAGACCAGCCCTTACAGTCAAAAGTGTCTCTGGGTCCGCCCAAGAATGTGGAACCCAGTAATACAAAATACAAAAAGGATCTCTCGAGAGTGGAACAGACGCATACCCTTATACAGTGATGCCACTGAGATACTTACTCGTCTACTTTAAACAAGAAATGAGTTTGGAGTCAGTGTTTCCAAAGTAAAATCCCATATATTTCTTTCACCATGACATCACCAGAGGTTAACAGTTATGGCTAACATTCACTACATTATTCTATTCATCTAGCCCTGAACTGAGTAGTGACACTTTAATTTCATGATAATTCTCAAATGGGCATTGAATACTGCTAAACCACTCTTCAACCTTTCTCTAGTAAAGTCTGCTTTACTATTCTCCAAAATGTCTGTCTCACACTTTCTTCTCTTCATTCAAATATTCAACACTCCCCATGTGGCCCCTTTTTAGTTGGCCTTACACTACTTTGAAAAATATAGAATCACTCTAACAGAAACTCTGTCATCTTCCAACCACCAATATATCTTGTCTGTGCACTTATGATCTACTTCCCTTGTTCTTACCATGAAACAATTGTCCTTGCTACAATTAAAGGCTAACACCTAACTTATGCTCAGGATTCCATCATGAAGCTGTGAACAGAGAGATTGTGCCTTCAAACCTAGAGTGTGAATTATGGAAACAACTCAGTAAATCTGGAACCAGTATTTTTTTCTTAACTAAATAAAGAGAATAGAATGCAGCCTGTTAAAGATTGAAAAGGTAAAAACTATTTTGTGAAACATCTGTTTCAGTCACATGCATGTATATAGTTAGTAGTGATATAAAATATATCTCTCACTGTCGGTTGTAGTCAAAAAGATCAGAAAGCCAGAGTTATGTATCTCCCAATTTAAAAAACAAACTTAAAAAAACAAGCAAACAAAACCCTCACTTTACCCAACACCTACCTCCAGCTATGACCCATTTTTATGTTCTCTTTAACACAGTAAAACCTCCCCAAAGATTCATCTACCTTAATGGTCTCGTTTCCTCACCTACAACTTGGTCTCACTCAATCAACTCTAAGCATTTCTGACCTCTCTAACCAGACTTGTCTCCTCAAGGTTTGCTGCTTCCAAGCTGTGAAAGCTCTGTTCCCTTCTAGTTCTGTGAAATGTAGTGTTGCCCATTCACAGCAACGTTTAGCCTAAGTCATGATTTGTTTTCTCTCTATCTCAGAGATCACAGTCCTGTGCTACCTGTTTCCCATTATCTCAAAAACCATTAAACATTCACCTGGTTTTCTAGGTGTTTTTGTTTTTGTTTTTGTTTTTTTAATGGAGGAGAGTAAATATAGTCTCTGTTATTCCATCTGGGCTAATAGAAATCTCCATTTTTATTTTTTGGCGAGGAGGAAATTGTTTTTTTAATCAAAATATGTTATTTATGCTAACATGTGATGGGTTTGTTAATATTTTTGAAATAGCTTGGCTTTAATTTCTTCTTTGACCTATGGGTTATTTTGAAATGGATTATTTAATTTCCAAATATTTGGTGACTTTCCCAAGGGCTTTGTTACTGATTTCTAATTTAATTTCATTGTGGTCAGAGAACATATTTTGCATGCCAAATGAATACTCAAGGTGAACTCTCTGCAGATCACTGAATTTTTCCTTCCAGTACTCTATCCTGCTAACTCTAACTCCCTTAGTTCGTCTGATCTCTCAGCTCTTTCTCCTTAGAGTCTTCAGGCTCTGCCTGGAATACACACTTGCCCATATTACCAGGACACTCTATGATAAGGCTGTTCACATTTTTTGCTTATCTCTTAAGGATCCCTGTCCTTTGGTGCCCAATGGCCAGTATCTTGAAAACTGCTATTTCATATGTTTTATACATTCATTTTGCTTTTTTGGGGTAGAAAAGTAAATGAAGTTATTCCACGGCTGGAAACAGATGTCCTCTAAGTTTTAATTGATAATGTGATACATATCAATAGATATGACCCATATAAACAAAAAATTCTTGTGAAAAAGCATTGCTGGGCTCCTGGCTAAACTCCACCCTCAAGCCTAGAACCTTGGCCCTAAGTGAAAACAGCTGACCCCGTTCCTCCACCCAAATATTGCCCTTTTTGGTCTGCTACACCCCTATACTGTGGCCATAAAAACACTTCAGCTAGCCAAGCAACACAAGTGGGTGATGCAAGCAGTCAGGGATGCAAGCTGCTGAGCATCAGGGATACAAGCTGCTGAACGTCGGAGGCTATGGACAGATACAGCTAACATCAGATGGTGCAGCGTCAGGGAAAGATTAACTTCTCCCACCATCCCATTTCCACCTCCCACCCACCGAGAGCCATCACCCACTAAAATCCTCCACATATACTACCCTTCAATCCATTTGTGCAACCTAATTTTTCTAAGATGCCAGACAAGTACCTGTGTGCTGAAAGGGCAAAGGCTTAGACACTGCTACAGGGCCTGCACAGAGCCTGCTCCGAGCCTGCTCCCACCAGAGAGGAGTGACCAGCCAGTTCCAGAATTCATTCCCTCTTGCAAGGAGTGTCCAGCAGTGGGCTGAGTGAAAGGAGCAACCAGTTCCTGCCCACAAAGGGGGTCAAGGGAACTAACCCATCTCATAAGGGGGCTTATCCAGGATATGACAAAGGGTGAGTTAAAATGTGGAATTGTTCAATCTGTCTCTTGTCCAAGACCCTGCCACCTCTTTCTTTCCTTTGGGTAAAAGGAATGTTGGCTCTCTTTCCCTTTATGGAGGTCTAGCTGGTCTGAACTGGGATAGAGTGATCAAAGGAACCTATTTCCAGAGAGCAAGAGGCTTCCCCTGAGGCCCCCAACCTACCCTCAACATTCACTTTAAGTTTTTTTTTTCTTTTCTAAGCGAGAGAGTTTTTTTCATACCTCAGGACTCCGCTTACAATAGAGAAACCACAGAGGAGCCACCCCTGAGGTCATTAGGACAAGCCCTAATCCAATATGACTGGTATGTTTATAAAAGAGGGAAATTTGGACACAGAGACACACATAGAGGGAAGATGATGTCAAAAGTCATAGGGAGAAGATGGCCATCTACAGCCAAGGAGAGAGGCGTAGAATAGATCCTTCCTGCATGGCCCTGAGAAGCTTGGGACACCTTGACCTTGGACTTTTAGCTTCCAAAACTGTGAGACAATAAATTTGTTATTTAAGCCATGCATAGTACTTAGTACATAGTACTGTGTATAGTACTTTGTTATGGCAGCCCTAGCACACTAATAAAAACATGTAATTGGAAATTAGTTAGAAATAATAAATTAACTGCACAATCAATAATGATTATGACCATTTTATCAAAAAGTTAAACTTTCTTATATTCTTCCTTGCTTTGCTTTTTCACTTATCACTTTATAAAATACTGGTAAAATATAAACTCCAACAGAGTAGGCTGTTTGTCTGTCTTGTTCATTCTGTATCCCCAGCTACTAGCACAGTATCTGGCACATACTAAGTACTCAAAAAATGTGTGATAGCTGAATAAATGGAATAGTACTATGAAAAAAACACAAGACGATGTAAGTACATATAAAAAGAAAATCTTACCTTGTCTGAGAGATCACAAAGGGTTTCCCAGGGAAACTACAATTGAGCTGACTGAGAGTAGGGAGTATAGATAGGGGTTAGAGGCAATTAGTGAAAGAGATATTTCCAGACAAAGTGAGAAGAGGGTAACAAATGCCCTAAAGCAGTGAAGAACTCGGTTATAAAGGTAAAAGATAGCCAGATTGACTAAAATACAAGGAGTAAGGGGAAGAGAAGAGGCAAGGCTAGAGAGGTAGACAGGTCTAGATACAGGAATGAACAGACTTTATAAACTCTAGCTTAAAAGAAATAGAAAGCCACTGAAGAGTTTTTTATATTGGCAGGAGGGCAGCAAGGCAGAAATGGCATGTGAAGACTCAGCAGTTTTGGAAGACAGTTTTGGCTTCTGAGTATTAGGAAGGGGCAAGAGTAGATGGGGGATGACTAGAAAGCAAAGTGATACATAAAAAGTGTATGGACTCAGGGGATATTTAGAAGATAGAGGCTGACAGAATTTGATGGGGCACTGAACATGGGCAGATCAAGAAAGAAAAAAAGTAACAAATGAAAGATAAAGAATCAAAATGGCAAGCTAGTTATTAGCAACAGTGCTGGAAAGTAGAAAACAATGGAAGAATATCTTTGAAAATTTGGAGAAAGGCATCTATCCAACCTAAAGTTCTATAAATAGCCAAATAATATTAATCAATAATAAAGGTGTTTTTCCAGTTATGCACGGAATTTTATATATCTCAAGAAATATTCCTCTATACCATGGCTCTCCAATCTTTTGGCTTCCCTGGGCCACAATGGAAGAATTGTCTTGGGCCACAAATAAAATACACTAACACTAATGATAGCAGATAAGCCATATATATATATATATAAAATAATGTTTTAATAAAGTTTACAAATTTGTGTTTGGCTGCATTCAAAGGCCATCCCGGGCCATGTGGGGCCCACGGGCTGTGGGTTGGACAAGCCTGCATACGCTCTTTCTCAGGAAGTTTCCTGGAAAATGTATTCTACCAAAACAAGGCAAGAGGGAGACTTGGAACCTTGAAGAAGTGAACCAACACAGGAAGGAGGAGAGCAGAATCCCCAGAAGGTTGGTGGTCAAGAAATTCTAGGAGAGCAGCCATGTATTAACAGGAGGCAAAAAGAGCAAGCACAGTAGACTGGAACTAGACAAGAGAGTCTGGGGGTGGCCCTACGGGAGAAATTCTTGAGGAAATAACGAATTATAATCAATGTGTGCAAATGTATTGAAAAGTGATTTGCACTTCTGTTGGAAGGTTTAGAGACATATTAGTACAGGTAAATAAACAAATAAAATTATTAATTATAAGAAAAACCAGAATGTTTTCACGAAAGGAATTATAACCACCTTATACATACCGTCTGGCTCGAGCCATAAACAATGTATCTAACTAAATACTGATCTTACAAAAAATTATGGCATAATATTTAAAGGATGGAAGGGAAGCAAAGGTAGGGGCAGGATATATATATGAGCTAAATCTCCATCTTTCGTATTAGCACATCAACAGTTAATACGGAATTTAAAAACTTCAAGAAGTAGCAGAAAGAATACTTTTTTATAAATTGTAAAGTAATTACCAATAGTAACTCCAAAAGGCTTGAGAGTTGTTACCTCTAGGGAATGGGAATAGAGGCAGGTTGTTGGAGGAAGCAAGAGATTGCTCTTTTACATAATAAGCCTTATAAAAAGTAAATTTTAAAAAAACTACATGTAAAACATTAATAAAATATTTAAAAGATGAAGATATATCAATAGTATGGTTATAACCTAACACTAAATCAAAATATATGACTAAACTAAAAGGCTAAGCATCTAAGCTTTGTGAAGCACCTGACTTTTGAGGTTTAAGACTAAATAAATTAATTTAATATGACCTATTTAGTAAGGTTACACTTTTTTTTGGATCTCTAAATGGTGGGCAGTGAATATTTTCTTGACTGGATATAGTCCAAATTCTTCTTAATATGGGATAATTATTAGATACCACCTTTTCAGTTATTTAAATTACTTTCTCTCAATACAAATTTTCTGGTTTCCTTATTTTTACAGGCCTTAGTGATCCTTATTTTTACAGGCCATTTCAGTGATCATTTGATACTCTCTTTTCTTTTCCTTTCCAAAGAAAAATCACTCTGACTTCCTAAAAGTTGATCACATCATACTTATCTGTCTAGCAACAGAATAATGGTGACTTTTGTTGTTCAGTCTATAATCCAAGAATCCTCTAGGAAGGCACAAGCGATCACACCTACATCCAGTGCATGTATGCTCCATCCTCCCTCAGTTTAAGAAATGAAAAGAGAAAAAAATTATCTTACCTCAATTAAAACATACCCCACCTGGGAATACTCACTCCATGAACATTTATTAACTATCTACTGCTTGTCAGGCTCTTAAATTTAAACTACAAACCAACCAACCACACAAAGAATAACAGCTATCCAACTGACAAAATAGTAATGTGTTAGCCCTGGGAAAGATATACACACAGATCATTTAAAGAAAAGCAAGTAATAAAGCTGGGAGGTTGCTAACAACTAACAAAATGAAAACTATTTTTGGCACAAATTTGCAAGCTATAGAAGTGCGGAAATCCTATACAGAAGTATTGTTACTGAATGGCCTGAGGACAGGATAGAGTCCAGAATGTTTCCATTTTAATCCCATCTTCTTCTCACAGAGATGCTTTGAGAGCAGATAATTAATATTTGCAAGGGCTTCGTGATAAGCTCAAAGTAGAATGCTAGTCATAAATATCAAAAAGCAGGCACATAAAATATAAAAAGTCACTGTCTGAGTACACACCCAATTAAAATTCAATTTCTTGAGCAATGTTGACAAAAGTTTGAGTTGAACCTTAATATAAAACATTATTCTGAAAAAATTACTTAAGATGAAAAACGGTAAACTCTTTACAAATAAAGTCACACAACTTACGATATTTACTGTGAATTTCATCTATTTCCTTTTCCGTTTGGTCCTTTGTAAAAACCATTACCTAAAATAATCAAAAAAAGATCTTAATAAAAATCTCTCCAAAATAACAAAAGGGGAAATATCACAAACTTTCAAATCTCAGACGTGTTTAAAAGAGAAGACTGTTTTATATAGACCTAGGATTCCTTTGTACTTCCCTTAAATACCAGAAATGGTATACATTTTACTCATTATTTTTTCTCATCAGTAGAAAATGCAATATAATTAAATTATATATTAACAAAATAACAAATTTTCCATGTTCAATATTTAATTTTCAACATTCTTTAATATAGCAGGCAACATTTAAAACCCCCAGAAGACTGATGACACTTAGCTGACTATCAGTAAGGCTGATCTTCTCGTCTGCCTTCTCTCCTTTCCAACCTAACTTCTCCAGATCATTCTAGAAAAGTAATATGCATAGAAAATGCAGTAATACAAAACACAGTAGTTAAATTTCTAGGTCAACTTTTCTAAACCTCAGATTTAAAAGATCAGAAGTTGACTTCCACGATTCACTGCAGTTCCCATCTTACAGTTGGCACATAGGTAACAATAGAGTCAATGTAAATCCCTTTTCTTTTTCCTACTTATCTGGTTATAAACTTACTTTCTTAAAGTAACCACTGCTTCCCTCACACACTATAGATGGTCTAGGAAAAAAAAGTCTACTTGGAAGAGACCAAAACACTTCCTGCAGTGTCACAGGACACAATGACTATTTTCTTCACTGGTATCCTGTCTTCAAGTTTTGGGCCATCAAGGTAGTGGAAGGCAACAGTGAAGAATTTTAGGTCTCTGAGTCTCTCAAAAGCTCAAGAGAATACTCTATCCTCAAATTACTTAATTTATCCTCTTATAATTAACATTTCCGTAAGTATAATCATAGAATTGCAGAATGCCACAGTTAAAAAGGGATCATAGAGGTCCCTAGAGGTAGCTTAGAGGTCCTTAGAGGTAGCTTATCAAATGCAACCAGCAGAGAAAGGACCAATATCAAAGCTGCCTGATGCACAGGCACAGGCATTCTCTATAGAATTCTAGCTCATGAACAAACTCTTTTTGGATTGCATTGTGTGCTAAAAGACTGCTACGTACAATCAAATATTGTACGAAAATGAGTTGCAAGTAAATCAGAATACACTAAGTGGAAATGTCTTAGTAAATGAACAAGTTTAACAATGGCTTGCTTTAATTTTTGTAGGGTATTAAACTTTCTTTCTTCATTTCTATCCAGATAGTGAAATAGCCCATTAACATACACTTTCATTGAGTTTACTAGCTTCAAGACGCATCCTGGTCTTCTCCATGTTTTCGATTTCTTGAACTATTTCAGCAGCTGTTAAAATAAGAAAATAATCACTAGGTTAATTACATTTTTAAAATCACTGTACAATAATTAAGTTGTGAACATTAGAAAAAGATGGGTGATGACTACATGTGAACTCCCTGATATGTTTTTATAATTTTTCTGTGAATCAATTACCATTTCAAAATAAAAGGTTAAAAAAATGGAGTTAAAACACCGAACTCTTACACATGCACATGCTGTTAAACATACATCCACAAGAGTAAAGTCAAGTCATTTTTCTTTCTCCTTTGAATATATAGATATAAACAGAAGTCTCAATGAAATACAAAAATTAATTTCCTAGTGTAAGTTCAATTATTAGGGGATGTCTGCTCAAACTGCAATTTACTAAATGCAGTACAACAGGTTACTGATGAAGGAGAGAAAAAGACCAACAAACACCAGGAAAAATGTCCTTGCCTCCAGAACCTTTGTCTGTAGGTATGGTTACCAAAGAGATGTGGAATACACCCTACAACATATTAAAGGCCTTTGAGTGCAAATAGCACAGAATTTGCAAATGATATCTTTCTCCATCCAAAGTCAATACTGTACATTAAAACTGAAATACATATGGTATAAAATAAAAATCTACAATTCCTTACAAGTGTTTATACATAAAAATTATATCTGGAATTTGCTTCAAAATAATCCAGGGGAAAGGGGTGTAAATGCTAGATAAAACAACATTAAGATGATTTAAACGGTAATTGTTTAAGCTGGAGTAGGCATATGGGAAAATCAGTAAACTCTTTTCTCTATTTCTGTATATGTATGAAATAATCCCCATTAAAGTTTTATTTAAAAAAAAAAAAAACACAGACCTTAAGAGGATCATTTAAGAATGCAACTGTCTCAATATAAAGTTTATGTTTTCCAAGCACTGAGAGGAACCTTTTGCCTCCCTGATATTGTAAAACCAGCAGAAATGATGTAAACAATCTCTCTGTGAACATGATCAGCTAGTGGTTCTCTCCTTTCCAAACTGAGTCATGGAATAACATGAAAAACACAGGGACCATTTGTATTTTTTCCAGTCCATTAATACAAGTATCACTCAAGATAAAAAAACATCTGGCATCCTCTTCTAAGATATTAGCAAATCTATATTAGGATTCGATGGCTTAAATCTTTTTCAGGGATACTTCTGATTCTGTTTAGGTTGTAGAGAGCTATAAATAATATCACTCTCACCCTAAAGACGAGAAAAAGCTGGGTAATTTATAAAACAATGATTTTTCTTGAATCCATCAGAGCTAAAGTAAGAGAGCAACCAACTAGCCTGAAACCTAAAGAAAGATGGGTGCCTCAGGGGAGAGCGGGGTCATGAGCACTGGTTGACATAGGACAGTGTACAGGAGAAAAGCTGGGACCACCCTATCTCTGAGTAAGATCTCAGCTAAACTTTTTGATAAACTACAAAAGGCCAAGGGTGAGCTACCATGAAAATACAAAAACCCTGGGTGGCTTGAACACAAAGGGCATCGCATCCATTTGCAGGCTATTTTCTACAGACCTCAGTGGGCACTCATAAGAGTCCTCAGCCTCTCATGAGGCTGAGGTAGCTCACTGGAGAAGGGCAGGAAATTAGAAAAGATCTTCCTCCAGACCCAACCAAAAGAGAACCACCCCCACTGTAGGACAGACATGAAGCCCCAACCATATCTTTATTCTTGAAGAAAAGAAAGCATTAAGCCACTGATAAAAAGTCAGCAAATGTTATCCCCAGAGCATAGGTTGCTGAGGGAAGTAAACAGAAACAAACAAACAAAAAGCCCCGCTACCCCTCAGGAGGGTCAAGAAACCATTCTGGGCCCTGACCAGTAGAGGACCCCTGACACTGGCAGTAGAAGTGGGGCAAGATCGCTGAAAAAGCACCACCCCTGAGATGCAGGATTGAAAGACCTGCCTAAGACTGAAGCTCAATCAGAGTGACAGAGAACCCTCCTTTTCTCTCTATCACAAACCTAGCATGATCCAAGTGATACGTAACAGCAGGCTATCTGTAGAAAAGAAATGAATATGGAGACAGACCCTCTCTGAGGCACAGGCTCATAGGGAAAACCTAACTTGTAAGTGATATATAGGTAAATTAAAAAAAAAAAAAAAAAAAAAAAAAAAAAAAGTCTAGCGCCTCAGATTCTTACCTACAAAGTTTGGCTTTCAACTAACACTTAAACATGAAAAAGCGAGCAAACTATAACTAAGATGATAAAGAATCTAGTAGCAAAGATGAACAACATGCATGAACTGATGGGGCATTTCAGTAGAAATTACTTCAACAGAAATCCTTTCTTTTATAAAGAATAAAATAGAAATGCTAGATATATAGATATATAAAACCAACACAGTAACAGATAACTTGACTCAGCAAAAGAAAGAATCAGTGAACCTAAAGTTGGATTGGTATTATCCAATCTAAAACAAAGAGGAAAAAAAAAAAGGAAAAATTAAAAAAGAAAACTCTAACAGAACAGAGCCTCTAAGAGCTATGAGATAATATCAAGAAATATAATATACACATAATAGAAATCAGAGAAAGATATAAAAACAAACCAAAAATGACAACATGCACATAGAAACAAAGAGAAAATCATGTAGCCATATGAGGAAAAAGATGCATTATATAAAGAAAAATCAAGAATTACATCATACTTCTCACCAGAAATTAGTCAAGCCAGATAACAATAGAGTGACATCTTTAAAGCATTAGAAAAAAAGCCTGCCAATCTAGAATTCTATGAAAATATCTTTCAAAAGTGAGAGAAAAACTTTCTGAGGAAATCGTAAGCCAAGAGAATGTATTAGCAGCCCTCCATTACAAAAAGCATTAAAACAAGTTCTTCAAGTAGAAGAACCAGAAAGAAACTTACCTAAGAAGTGAAAACTGGTGAAAATGGTAAACATGAAAATAAGTATAAAATATACTTTGTTCTTATTTTTAACTACTGTAAAAGATAACTGATTAATGGACAAATAGCAACATATTGTGTTAATAGTATATGTAAAAGGAATTCATGACAGTAACAGTACAATGAATTAGAAGTTGAAGTATACTGTTAAAAGTTTCTTACTAGTGAAGCTGTATAATTACTTAAAGGTAGACTCTAACTAACGAAAGATATATGCTGCAAACCCTAGAGATCACTAAAATTTTCTGAAAAAGAGGTAAAGTAATAAGGCAATAATGGAAATAAAATATAATAATAAAAACACTCAATCCAAAAGACAGCAAAAAAGATAAAAACAACAAAAAGGAGATGGAACCAGGAAAAAAAACAGCAAGATATTAAACTCAAAGCCAACTACATCAGTATTTACATTAAAGAAATGGTTTTGGGCCGGGCGTGATGACTCACGCCTGTAATCCCAGCACTTTGGGAGGCCAAGGCGGGCAGATCACAAGGTCAAGAGATCGAGACCATCCTGGCCAACATGATGAAACCCCGTCTCTACTAAAGATAACAAAAAAATTAGCTGGGCATGGTGGCACACGCTTGTAGTCCAGGCTACTGGGGAGGCTGACGCAGGAGAATTGCTTGAACCCGGGAGGTAGAGGTTGCAGTGAGCCAAAGTCACGCCACCGCACTCCAGCCTGGTGTCTGGTGACGGAGTAAAACTCTGTCTCAAAAAAAAAAAAAAAAAAAAAAAAAAATGGTTTTAAAGCACCAATTAAGAGACAGAAAATGTCAGATTGGATAAAAAAAAGATAGACCAAACTATATACTATCAAAAACAATCCATTTTAAATAAAAAGATGAGCTAAAAATAAAAGCATAGATAGAAATGTCTCATGTAAAGTAATGAAAAGAAAGCTGGAGGAGCTTTATTAATATGAGACACAATAGGCACCAGAACAATGATTGTTATCAAGGATAAAGAGCAAAATTAGGGGCCAAGTGCGGTGGCTCGTGCCTTGCCTATAATCCCAGCACTTTGGGAGGCCAAGGCAGGTGGATCACCTGAGGTCATGAGTCTAAGACCAGAATGACCAACATGGTGAAATTCCATCTCTACTAAAAATACAAAAATTAGCAGGGCATGGTAGCTCATGCCTGTAGTCCAGCTACTCAGGAGGCTGAGGCAGGAAAATTGCTTGAACCCAGAAGGCAGAGTTCAGTGAGCGGAGATCGGGCCACTGCACTCCAGCCTAGGCAACAAGAGTGAAACTCCATCTCAAAAAAAGAAGGAAATTATATCATGATAAAAGAGTCAATTTACCAAGAAGATATAACAACCTTAAATGTGTTTGCCCCTAAAACAGAAATTTAAAATACATGAAAAAGAATTTCTGGTTCCAAACAAGATGGAGTACACTCATTTCTCCCTATTCTTCCCCAAGAAGTACAACTAAAAACCCTGATATAAAACAAACAACTATAAGAGAACTCTGTAAAGTAGAAAGAGGAAAATGGACTGGCTAAGACCTCAGCATATGAGGAATGACACTGTGGCAAGTTCCCTGGGGTTTCTTTATATTCTGTATCTTACAGACTAGGCTCTGGACCACAGAGTCAGCAAGAGAAACAGACAAAAAAGTCTCAAGAAAAATCTATGCTAAGAAAGGACTGAAAAAGAAGGTGCCCAGAAACCTTTTTGATAACACTTGACCTACCTAAGCAAAACACTGCTGATGCTCTCTGCCCTGTGCATTATTACCAGTGAGCAAGTGGGGAGTGTGAACCTCTACCCACCAACCAGTGATAGCAGGGGTCCTAGTGCAGGATGTCCTCACATAGCAACAGTGTCAGTGGAAGCCTAGTGAGGGCTTCTACCCCTCATCCAATAGTGGCAAGTGCCAGCTGTACCCTCTAAACTAGTAACTGGGGAATATCAAAGAGAAGGAAGCTGGAGAAAAGCATTCTTTCAGCCTGTGAAGGATATCCCCAACCAACAGGTAAAACTGGCATACAACTAATATGCCACAAGGTTTGAAAACTGGACCACAGTGTGGAATACCAGGTTTTCACAACAGTCTCCAGGTAGCA